ATGGTACTCTCCAAGATTACTCTAACTGCTGAAAACCCTTCTATAAAATCTAGGAGAATCTGTCTCTCACAGTGAACAGCAGTTTTTTTTTAAGAATCCTGACACTTATGATGAAGCATGGAAATGAGCTGATAAGAAAATGATGAATTGGAAGAAACAGCATAGAAAATTAAAGCAATCAAGTCAAGGCACCTCATTAAGGGTATGACCACTCATCAGGATTTGAGGTGGTTACTAATTCAGGGTGTCTCAGCAGTCCCTCATGATACCATCAGGTTTCATTAATTTTCAGTCCCAATGTGGGAGTATCAGATCTATATAGACACTGCTTCTTAATATGGCTCTTCTTTTCTGTTGTTGGCAGTCTCTGCATTTTGTCAGTTAAGCCAAAGTCAAGTTGACAATAAAACCTTGGCATCTGACTTTAATAGAAAAAATATTGATTATTCTTACTTATACATTGGTCTTGTAGATTTTTAGGCTTTTAATTAATTGAAAATAGTTGGAAAGAGTTTTTTTTTTCTCTTAAGAATAACTGTTAGACTAATAATTTATATATATTATTTATATTTTAAGGAGAGGTAGTGTTTACTCATTCCCCCCACGAGAATGAGATGTGACACAAGGTCGGATTAATGTGAGGACTCGAACGCGTGCACCTGGCCAGGGTCAAAAATTCCCCTCAGCCCCCGCAACTGTTGGTTGCGCTGGCCTCATTGCGAGCACCAATCCCTCCCTCTTGTGCAATGGGAGGGCGTGGCCTCAGGCAGCTGTTCCCCAGGGCTAGGCACCACTTCAGTATAATTTTTCTCAGTTACCCCTCTGTCCAAGGACAGAGATGCAACTGAGAGATGATAAATAATGCGAAATCCCTTCTTATTTATATTTTAAGGAGAGGCAGCAGATAATATAGTCATTAAACAGTGATCTCCAGATGAAGAAAATTATAATTAAATTATTTTATCAATATGTAATTTTATTTTATTTTTTTGCAGCAAACAGTCTTGCCTTGTGCAAAAGACAAACATGCAATTGGACAAGTGCAGACAAGAAATGTCAAGTAAAGAAACCCAGAAGAAAATGCTTATGTGAGTTTGAAATTTTGAGAAAAATTGCTCACTTGTTCAATCTCCAAAGATTATTTGCATATTATGCTGATATGCCAGTTCGTACTTGATTCATTAGATAGGATCATGTTTTATATATCCAAATTTCATTAATTTAATGCCTGCAGCTTTTTTAAAATTAGATCCATATGAAATTCAAAATTGTTCTGTTACATGAAAATGTTTAGTTGTTTCTGAGATTTAACCTATTACTTGATTTTATGTTAAATAATATCCCACATAGCACCAAATAAATTAATATTTAAAAATATGGCTTGTAAACAGAAAACATGGAACTAGATCTGTCTTGGGATAGTCCTTGATAGTGGACCACAAATTAATTATTAAGCATTGTCATTTTCTTATTAGCTAAATAAATTTGTGAATACTTTTATTTTACTCTTGAAATTTCTCTGTATTTGCAGGGAAAACTTCAGAAAAGAAGAAAATGAATTAAAAAGTAAGTTGAATTTTTTTTTCTAAATGAATTACATAAATTGTATGGAAGTCATTTGAGTTGATAATGACTCAGTATTTTTAAAAAATTTTTACAATGTATATATCAAATTTTAGATCATAATCAGTAGGTAGCAAGTCATTATTGTAAAACCAGTGTGCTGCCTCTTTTTTTGATCTCTTCCTTTTATTATTGCTTCATTATCTGATGTGTATACAACAGATTTTATGTTTTAGCAGTAATTCTAAAGAGCTGGACTTATATAAAATCAAAGCATTTTGAATGTAATTTGTTTTCAAAATGTAATGTGTAAGATATTTATATTTCACATATATTCTGCTGTATTTTAAAAAAATTATATTTTCATCTTTGAACATTGTTTTTCTTTTTAACTATATCTTTCTATCATTGTTTTGAAAATAAAATTATTTCCTAAAATCTTACACCTGCCTTGGGAAATGGATTGACTTTACAAGTCAAATGTGTTCTTTAAGTTTCTTGTTGGGTCCATGGTAACTGCTTGGGAATAACAGGTGCTGTAAGCTTGGATGTGCAAGTGGTGTAATGTATAATGGTTCAGAATTGTTAATCAGAGAGCTGAGTTCCAATTTAAGTTGGATTCATTATATTCACTTACATGCAAATACCCTTGGGAAAAGTATGTATCCTCCCAGCTATTGGTTAATTAGTAAGACTTGTATCACTAAACCATTATTATCTAAAAAAATATTCTTACAAACTAAAAATATTTTCTGGTTTTAAATAACCTGCAAAGGGTTGATAATTTGTAGAAAATGAATCAATCAATTGTTGGTTTCATGTGTAAATAAAAGGCAGTGTTAATCTATTTGTTTATTGATTATAATTGCCCAAACTGTAAAATGCTTGACATTTGACATTTTAACATGGAGAATATATACATGTAAAAACTTATTTCTTTCTAGAGGTTTCTTTTAAAGGTTTTTTAATTGGGGTTTCAAATTACATTGTTTACCATGATTTGATTACAATAAGTTTTAATTTTTCTAATGTGAACATGCCATGAACTGAACATGTAAGCAGCAACAAAGTTTTAGAGAAAATGGAAGCAAAAAAGACATACTATTTTTTTTTTTAATCGGTATCACCCCATGCAAGCAGTAAAGCCACTAAAACATGAGGGGTTACAGGGTGTGAAGCAATTCGGAACAGAAACATTAATAATGAGTGGAAAGAGAAGAAAGTTATCAGGGGGACAGTAGATAGTGATTGACATTGTATTTATAATTTTGCAGATTAAAGTTGGCTGGAAAGCATCTAGTTGGAAGGAAGTTCCACAAGCAAGAAGTGCAAGAAAAAAAAACTGCATAGAACTTACAGCTACATGTAGCCAACTCAACTGTCAATTGATGAGATCTCGACATCAGTCTAGTACTGCACTTAAATTCATGAAGTCTAGGTACCATAGCAAAGTGCAATATTTATTTGTAAAAAATTACAAAATGTGTCACAAGGCCAAAATGGGAAATGGAGAGAAGGACAGTTTTCTTCTTTAAACTTTAAATTTAAACTTAGCCACAATCACTGACCCAAACATACCACAATATTCTTAACTCCAAAACAATGCATTCTTACTTAACATTCTTACTACATCCACCATAATACCTCAATGTCTCTATGAAAGTCCTAAGTAGTCCCCATATGTACAATTCATTGTCTGTTGGTGGAGGGGAATAAAACAACACCATAGCAAAGAGCTCATCCAGACAATTACCATGAAAGTAATTATAGAAAAGGCACAGAGAGGTAACCTTATGGCAGTGGGAAAGTGATTGAAGCCGAGCCGCCAGATCAGGACTAAAACATCAGAAAGAAACAGTTGAAATTTCTAGGGTACATAATGAGGAAAGAGGGCTTAAAAAATTTCTTACTCACAGAACAGATTGATGGCAAGAAGGACAGGAAAACTACGCATTCAAATTTCTGAAGTCATAGTCTTAACATATGATTAATAATTGTACATACTTTTAATTCTGGAAAAGATACTTTTGTTTGCCTTTTGGTCTCATTAATGTCCAGATAGGAGATGTAAGTGGCTGAACAGTTAACACCATGAAGAATGGAATCAACAAACTGAGATCAAACTCTAGCTTGGGTAGTTTGCATTCACTTTGTACTAATGCTATTGAGAAAGGCATGAACATACACTTTTTTCTCAAGCTATGGACAAGTAGTTGGGCAGTTCAAGCTCTTTAGCAGTCTAAGTTGGTCATCAGGCTAGCAATCCAACTCTATCTATCTATCTATCTATCTATCTGTCTGTCTGTCTGTCTATCTGTCTATATATATATATATATATATATATATATATATATATACACACACACAACAACAACAACAAAAAAACTTGCTATTAAAACTGAAACTGTATCAGTTGGTGCCATTGGAGCCCTATGCACTACAAAGTTTGAAAAAATAAAAAAATGCTTAGATGCCTATTCAAGGGTTTTTGGGATTATTGATTTCATTGTTGTTACTACAATGTTACAGATGACCAATTCTTTGGCCTTCCTCAAATGTACAATCAATATGGAAAAGAAAAGCTCTTGTCTTTTTTTTTCTTTTTTGTCAGGTAGTGTTAGAATTGGAAAGAAATAGTTGAAATTTTGGGGACGCATAATGAAGAAATTGGTCTTGGAGAATTTGGCACTCACAGGACATAGTGAAATTGAGAAAGGCAGAGAGAAACATTGAATAACCCAACAAGCTTGTATAAACGGATTGCAGAACAGGGAGTCAGAGGGATAGCAATGAGAGAAACATTAGAGCTACAAAGTATAGGAAATTGTGGAGAGCCATTATTGTCCATGTCCAACACATAAAAGAAAAAAAAGTGTCCACCAATAGTGATAAACACAAGAAAGAATGGTAGCACTGCTCAAATTAACCTATCATTAAAGTTTGCCTCGTACTGTGTATGACATAGCAATATCATATTTTATTCATGGATTTGCTCTTAGTTCTTTCCTTGCTAGGAAAAGAAATCTACACTGGCCTGATTTATACAATTGCCTCAACAACTCTTGGAATGATAATGACTTACCTAAAAATATTTTTATTGTTGATTTCTTCTTTCAGATCTGGAGGAAAAATTGCAGAATGTCTGTGGTACTGATGATTTTGATGAGAGTTTGATCAATGTACAGACAAAACTTAATCAAACTCAAGAGTAAGGAACTTTTTGCTGAGTTACTAAAACTTTTTTTTTTATCTTATTAGCTGTGTAGGGCATATCTTTGAGGACTCACTACTACAATTAAAAATACAAACAGTTATATGTGAAAAGTCAAAATATTCTTCAGATTGGTGTTTCCTTTATCATTTGACTTTTGATAATGTTTATTAATATTTGTTTTTTGCCCAGTTCCATTTTGGTTTTAAATTACTGCTGACTGATAGCCATATTATGTTGAAACACCAGTTCCCATATGGTCACTGAAGTTAAGCAATGTTGAGTCTGGTCATTATCTAGATGAGTGACCACTTTGGAATACCAGGTGTTGTAAGCTTGGATGTGTGAGTAGTCTAATGGATAATGGCTTGGAATTATTAATTGGAGAGCCGAGTTCCAATTCAAGTTGGGTTCATTATATTCACTTATACACAAATAACCTTTTGAAAGTTATGGATCCACCTCTTCCCCCACCCCCCAGCTTTGGGTTAGTTAGTAAGACTTGTATCACTAAATCATTATTATCTCAAAGAAAAATTCTTACAATCTAAAAATATTGTCTGGCTTTAAATAACCTGCAAAGGGTTGATAAACCATAAAAAAATAAATCAAATTACTGCTGTTGTTGAGAGAAGACATTTTTTTTTCATATAAGAATCTCATATGCATTGGTTTAGAAAAGAACTCTTTGCACAAAGATTAGTTTCAGATATTATTTACTAATAATATATTTTTTGATGTAAATTTGTAAGTTAATTTAATTTATAGTTCATTTTTAAATATTATCGGTTCAAAATTTGTAAATTTTGGTTATAGAAAACTGACTTTACTTCAGAACCTAATTTAAGTTACTACTAACGCAAGCTGCAAACTCCAAAGAATATCCCAGTGTCATTTATCACAGTAAGTGGGAAGGATTAAAACCGCTGTATACAACAAATAATATATAAACCAAATTGTTGTTACATTTTTAACCCAAGAATTCTTTATTCCAAAGGATTCTTTTTTTGTCTGGCTCCCAGCTGTCGAACCACGTTCACTTCAGTTTGCTTCATCAGTGATCTTCTCACCCTCTGAAATCAAAAAACACAACTTGGTAGAGGAGTAAATCAGTGTGAGCAGACAAACATCAATTAAGTTGAGTGGAACTGTGCCCACCATCAAAATACCAGTGATAAACAAGCCATGTGTTAACAAGTGACGAATCAGCTAGATGGTAACCACGTTGATCTGAAGGAACTTGTAGACCAATGCAGTGTATAGGGTTATATTACTGGTGACCATTGACGAGGATCAACTCGTGGAGTGACATTAGTTACCATTGACCAGGATCTACCAGTGGGGTCACGCTATGAATATGCACAAATTCCACAAAATTCTTTTCTGTCAATTTTGAATTTTCTTTGCCAGCTATTTATGCTAAGCAAGAGGAAAAAAAATTTTTTTTTTTTTTGCGTGTGTGTGAATTTGACTCCTCGTCGCCACTCTTATGTCTTCATTCCATTGAATAAAGATAACACAAACATGAAATATAATGTTGCTTGGAGTTGACATAGTCTTACTGAATACTGTAGTAAGGATATAAGGCTTGCTTCTGGCTAGCTCTCTGCTGATGATTTTCAGCGTCAGTATATTATTTGGATGAGTATTCTGGAGAGGTGTGTTCATCTCCACAACACAATGTTAATTGCTGTCTTCCTGAATCCAGTTCTTTTATTGTCTTTTCTCCTCACTAAAATCTTCTCATTCTCATTCACTCTCAGTAACTCCTTTCATCTTACTGGCATTATCGCTTTGTTTGGAGTGAAATGGTTAAAAAGAAATGCACTCTTCATTAAAAATAAAAAATATACAGTGCAGCATTATCACTCTATGTAACATCACTTGCTGTACAGAAATTTTATCCTGCTACTGAAGGTGATTCTGATACCTGAACAATAGTGTGTTTGAATTTTATAGTTGTGTTGTCATATCCTTCTACGGCAACAGAAAACAACTTTGAGAGTGAAATTAACAATAAGTATACTACAATTGAGAAGCCTTGAAAAAGAATGCCATGGAAAGGAAAGTAATATTAATAATGCAGTGTGCTAAAGGTTAACTCTTGAACACATGACAAATATTACCACCCATCATTCTTCCTATTTTAATACATTAGTTTGGCACCAATGTGAATTAATGCAAATTCTACTTTTGAAAATATAGAACAATTCAAGCTCCTCCAAATCTGATTACTTCTAGAGATTTTCTTTATGGAATTATGTACAAAGTTCTATTTATATTCATTAAATTTTTCTTGAGTTGCTTTGACTTTACATATTTATACAAAAAGAGAGAAAAGATTTTAGAAATCTGATAAACGTGCAAATCCAGAAGGGATTTTCACTTTTTTTCTTTTACTTTTGTCTCATGAAGTAAAAGAAATTCATCCAAAATATTTTCAAAGATGCATTTTTAAGATATGAATATTTTATAATATTTTTCAATGTGAAATTGCTTGAAAATTTCTTATTTTTTTCTTTTATGCATAAATATTGAATTTGGCATTCATCTTGAAATCTAAAATGAATTCACTTGTAGCCTTAGTTGCAGTTTTGTTGTTCATCCTTCTCTCTCCCTTTTTTTTTTTAACTATTTGCAGACAGCGTGGATCTTTAATGGGTGCTGAACATTTTTACAAGAAGTATGTGCAAGACATGAAGAAAGAGAATCCTTGCTGCCCTCTTTGCCATCGTGAATTTGAGCAGGAACAAGAAGTGCGAGAATTGATCCTCGAAGTATGTATGGGATTTAAATGGTTGTGTGTTTGTGTTTATTATATCTTGGGTGTGTAAACAAAGAAAATAGAAGCATACAAAAACTTGAAATGTCATTCTTTTTATGGTGATAAAATTCTTCATGTCTCTTGGGCATGTCCATTTCCTTTTTGATCCAGGAGTTAGGGTAAGTAAGTCTAAGCATCATTATTAATGGTTGATCTCTAGTCAGCTTTGTGCAGAGTTGGAACAACCAAAGGAAGGTTTGTACTTCTTGTTGGAAGGTTTAAACATGGTTATGGTTTCTCTGTTTTCTTTTTCTTGGTTTGGTAAGTAAGTATAAGCATTGTTACAGTGGTTGTGTTCAAGTCAGTCTTGCACTGTGTTGGAACAACCAAAGTGAAAGCTTGACTTACTTCATAGGTAGAGGTTTTGGAAGACACAGGTGAGTGCCATGTGTTGGAAAATAAACTGGCGGAAACTAATGCTCCCAGTGAAAATGTAATTACTATCTGGTATTATATCTTGGAGCAAATGGGGGGGAAAAGTGATTGAGAAAAGGTTTGCCTTTGTATGTATTTCATTTTCCCTTTTTTTTTTTTATTCATTATTATTATTTCATTTATCAATTTTTATTTCATTTTCTCACATATGTGCCTTACAAAGCTTGTTGCTTTTCTTTGTTGTACTTTATTTTTCTGTTTGCAAAGAATTATATTTAACAAGTACTATACTTGTGACTAAAAAGAGTAAAATTTTGTATTAGAAAAATACAGATATGTGGTAATTTTTAAACTCTTATGTTAAAAGTTTGCTTTATGTGTCTTATTACTTATCTCTTTTCATTTTCCAAAAATATTAGAATTTCAATAATTTGTTATTTACCTATTGTTTACAGTTGGAGAACAAATTACGAATGGTTCCTTCTAAGCTGCAGAAGGCAGAAAGAGATCTTGATGACCATCAAAAGAAATATGACGCTATTCAACAGCTAAAACCAGTTAAAGAATCTGTGAGTATACATTATAATTTATTTTATTTACCATAATATGAGACAAATTGGTTGGGAAATAACTATTTCCAAGCTTAAAAAGTATATTTTACTTTTTCATTTGATATTATTAAAAGAGAAAATGGGTGAGTTGCCAAATGTTAATTGCATACTTGTTTATTACCTTATGAGTAAAGACTGCATTAGTTTGTCTTTTTGCTAATTTAGACATATTAGAAACAAAGAAAAGAGTATTGAACTGTTACATAGTATCATCCTCCTATATGGCAGTGAATGCAGAATAATCTCACAGATGAAGAAGAGACTCAAAGCAGCAGAAATATTCAACAGAATAATGCTGAGAATACCATGGACTGAACATGTGAGCAATGAAAAAGTTTTAGAGAATATGGAAGTGAAAGGGTCACTTATACATACTATTAGAAAGAGATAGCTGAAATTTCTAGGGTACACAATGAGGAAAGAGGGCTTGGAAAATTTGATACTCACAGGATGCATAACCTACCTACCAAGCTTGAATAACTGGATAACAGAACTGGGTTTGGGAGATATAACAAAAACACAAAATTTATTAAGAGCTACAAAGGGCAGGAAGTTGTGGAGAGCCATGATTGACAACATCTTGAAGGGCCACAGCACAGAAGAAGAATGTCTAACTGTATATATTATAATTATAGTTAGATTTTAATGTATAACTATATAATAAATGTATAATTATAATAATGTAAAATTCATTTAACAATCAAATTTTTATTGACTTTCTAGAGGTAAAATTTTAATCTTGCTGATTTACATAAAAGTAATTTATATGCAAAATTATATTTTTAATGATTTATTATTACATGAAGTGTTAATGAAATTAATGTCATGTTTCAAGATTTATAATAAGAAGAAAAGTTTAAAGACAGTTTTGTTATTAAATTAAAAAATGAAAAAAAATTTTCAATGGTGTCTTTGCTGTGATTAAAAGCTGATATGTGATATTGTGAAAATGCCAAATCCATAATCTTTAAGTAATTAAATTTGACATTCTTTACAAATGTTCTTGCATTATAATCATCACTATTTTTACTGATTCCATTTTTCTATTTTAGATGAATAAAATATCCTCTTGTGGCCTCCCACAACTAAAAAAGGAATTGGATAATGTAAAGAACACAATTAGCAAAGTGTCAAAAGAAATTGAAACAGTATGTAACTCTTCTATTTTTCTATCTTTTTTAAAAATTTATTATTTACAATCAATACTAAATGCTATGTATATTTATATATTTTATATGCATAATGAACTTGCTTTAATCATTATTTGGTAGAACATTCTTGCATGTTTTAGGACAGTGGTTCCCAGATTTTTTTTATTGAGCCACATTTTTGGAATGAAAATTTGCTTGCACTTCAATAAATTTTATGTGGCAAAAAGTACATTTTAAAAATAAAAAATGGAGATAGGATTAAAGGAAGATAACCACAGATTCAAAATCAGATCATTATTATTGATAACTCTCTCTTCTAATTTGCTGACTCTAAAAAATGTAAATGGTTTCACAACGATGACACTATCAAGAAA